ACAGTTTCAATCATTTGAGAATACTTTATCAGTTTCCTGTTATTTTTACATGAATAATACATACAGATATTCAGTATTGTAAATTTTGTTTATGTCATTTGATGTGTAACGGATAACTGTGCTAGAGAAGTGGGGGGGGACGGGTTTGTAATCATTTAGAAATAGTATATTTCCAATAGAAAGCAGTGGCTCATTTATTTAAGTTAAAAAAAAACACTCAATATATATTGGGGTCACAATTCTTTAAGAAAACGAAGCGATCATATTAAAATGTTTGTTAATTGGCTTATCAGACATTCTGAATATGAAGCATTTCTCTAATTGTTGCCTCTATTTTACAAAATCTGTGATAGCTTTTTGTATTTTTACTAATACAGTTAATTCTGTGGTCTGTTGAGCTGAGTGTCCGCTGAGTGTCTTAGCTCCAGCATCTGTTTTCAGTTCCAATGAACAGAGAGCACACAATAAAAGCCCCCGGCGTCTTTTCAGAGCACTCAGCTGTTTTTGTGCAGCCACTCAGTTTAAACAAAAATCAGAACTTTTTCAAGAGGCGCCGGTCTCATCACTGTTACTCCTTTTTAGGGAACTGATCGTATGGGCCAAACTCGTCTCCCTGGTGAACAAGAAAATGAAAAAGAAGCGTGCTTTGGCCATGTTTGTCCATCCCGAACAGAAATGATCACAAAAAGGGGCAACGCTCGTCTTTTATACAACTGCACTTACAGTCGTTGTCAAGCTGCTGTTGTCATAGAAACAAAACCAAGCACTTTTTTTTTCAATGAAGTGCTGGGATGAAGTGCTCCCCATCACCCTGCAAGAGGAAAACACTGCACGAAACTGCGCCCTCAATGGTCTGATCTTTATTCTGATTTCTGCTCATCAGCTGGCTAAGGAACACACAGATAAATATTATGTTCTGGTGCCAAAAGCAGCAGCGTTTTCCTCTAAAGATGGCGTTGTCGTTCTCTTCATTGCTGAGGGAATTCAGATCAAAGCTGGGTTCAAGGGGCCAGTACAGGATGTGAAGGCCGCTCGTGAAGCTCGACGAGTTGTTTTCGTCTCATAAATTGCGTTCTCCAATTTTTTTGCCGCTGACCTGGAACTGAAAAGAAATCGCTCCTATGAACGTTTCGTGGCTTCCTTGTTAAACTCTGGACTCAACTCTGAACTCCAGCCCACTCAAACCTGCTCCCTCAGTTTTTATTTAGCGTACGGTAACACTTCAGAGCCATCGATCAGCCCTAGTCAAAAGGTCTTTATTTAGTCAGTGCTGGATACACAGAGGAGCCGGGGTATTACTTCTATCCACATTGATTTCTTCTTTCGTCGTGTATGTCTCACTCTGCTGCTTGGTCTCAGTATTTTTTAAGGATAATAGAAATCCATTCATTGTAAAAAAAACAAAAAAGAAAGAAAAACCACGACTGCCTGATTTGTTGGACATTAACTGCATTTTGCGTTGAGAGGTGAGACTCGAAGATTTGGAATTCAGAGGCAGTTTTCAGAACAAAATGACCACAGATCCAAGCGACCAGAGGATAATTCATCCTGGGACAACACTCGAGTCTGTTCAGCTTAATTATTTATTACATTAAACTTTAATGATCACGGGGAGAAAATAGATTGTTGGAACAGCAGAGAATACAATTTACAGAAAATGCTCGGAGGGTTTAAAGTAAACATCGCAGTAGGTAAAGATTTGCAACAGAAATCCAGCTGTACACTTTCACATTTCCCCAGTGCAATCACATTAACTCGGGAAATTAACAGGCAACGGCATTCTTAACCTTCACGTGTCGACAAAGAAGAAACGAGCTGCCTCTCCAATTGTCAGTTCAGGCCATCAAACCAAAACTGGGTCAATAGTGATATAGGCTTTTTAAAAAAAATAGGTGTATCGTAATAGGTGTATGGTAACTGCCATTTGTTTTGTGCCAGGCCAGAACATTTTCCAGACCCTATTATGCCACCACGGTGCTGAATTAAATGTCTGTTTCTGTTTGTTTTTTTTTCTGTTTCTCAGTGTGTTTCTGGCAGAGCAGTTTGAGTCTCTCCAGTCCCACTTGGACACAATGATGCCTGCAGCCAAGAAGCCCTTCCTACAACAGTTTTATTCCCAGGTATTGTACATTTTACACACCTTATTTCTAAAGAATATAATACAGTAACTGTTGATTATGTCGCCACTGTCGGCTACAATTCACCACAGCGCTACTAAAACTTTCATTTAATCTGTTAAAGGATCGAGATTTTTTTTTTTTCCAAGAATCGCTTTAGTCATTTGTCATCGGCTCGTCTGTGTAAATCTAAATGAGTATAATAACCAGGGGACGTGTATAAGTTGATTATTGTGAAAGCCTGTCAAACGCCTGCTTCTGAGGCTTAGATAGCATGAAATTCAAATGACTGATCACAGCATGCATCAGCTTTTTTTATGAGTTAATCTCAGCGTCATTTAAAAAGAGACACATCCAGTAGGTGATTTGTTAACCTTCCTGGATGTGTGTTTTTGCTGGTTTTGTGGGAGCAGGGAGGTGCTCCCACTGGGCTGTCCTCCCTGTCAACAAATAACAAATCACCTCCTGAACACGTCTTTTAACTTGCAGTTCTGTATCAACTAGCGTAGCATCCTCAACATGCCTTGCAGTTTCTGTGCTCCCTGTGAATTTTCTATTTGCAATCACTGCTTTATTTGCAACCACTACTCTGTTTTTTTATGAGTTTTGAAAGTATTTCTCCTTAGAAACAAACGACTTTGCGATCACAACCCAGTATTCAGTCCTGTACTTGATCTGCAAAAGGACAAAATTGTCTGTCACTCTCACCCACGCCAGCAGCTCTTTCTTGTCTTATCTTTTATTTTTGTCATCCTGACATTTGAAATGTTCAGGTGTACAAGCAGGCCTGTTTTCCCTAAACATCGTCTGAAGGTCATTTTCTGTATTTTCACTCTCGGAAATGTTAGTGCAATTTTGTTTTGCGCAATCGATGACATTATGGTACCCGCACAATGCAATAATCCCAGAAGACGCTTTGTCTTCATGTCTGCCTCGTTGCTGTTTACTGCTTACATAACATTTGAGAACATGTATGAAGGTAACACACCACTAACACGGGAACATTTCACTTTCCTCCCTTCCCGCTCTCAGACGGTGTCTACCGCCAGCGAACTGAGGAAACCGATATACTGGATTGTGGCAGCCAAGGCCATCGACTACGAACAGATGTTGCTCATGATGGCCGGAGTTAAATGGGACATTAGGGAGATAATGTCACAGCATAACGTATATGTGGACGTCCTATTAAAGGTAACAATGCCTAAGAAATGAAACCATTGTTAATACTGATGTTAAATGTAATGTGGTACACTGTACGTTTCTGACCAGGGTTTCAATCAGGTTGTTGATACTACTTCAAATAATGCAAATAAATTCCTTAACCCCATTCAGGACTTTCATGCTGCCATATGTAGAAAGTCTTTCGAGGTTCATTGGACACCAAAAAAGAACATGTGCAAAATATTTGTTGGTATTCATTATAGACTTTTATACTATGTTAAATACATTTTCTGACAATTTGACATATTTTTGGTTCCAAATGCATGACAAATGTCCCTCTTTTTATATTTAAAAAACATCTTCAAAAATAAAAAAAACAATACCTGTCACCTAAACCAAATGGCCTCAGGTCCACAAGACCCTACAAGTCCTGAATAGGGTTAAAGCAGCATATGTTAACATTTCACACTCCCTGGAGCCAACAGAACAAGCTGCACATTTTATTTTTGTGAACATGTTAGCAAACACTTTCTATTTAAACATCCAGCTGACATGGACCAACATTAGCATTCACACGCAGGACTCCAGCCATTTTGTTCACACTGGCCACATGTTTTCACTGGTCGTACCGGTGTGCCTGACATTTAGCAGGTGTCTCAGGGCGGTATGCCCTGGTAAATAAAAGCACTTGGTGTCAAGTGAAGTAAGGCTGACATTAGGACACTTATGTCACTCTTTTCAAACTACACAGTGTTTGTCTGTGTTGCTTTGATGCAGTATGTATGTAACTGTCCCCAGCCAGCTAGTAGTAGCTATCGATCCAGGTGAGGTGTGAAGAAAACGTCTGGAAATTACGCTTCGGAAAACAAACCTGGGTTGCGCTATCCCCTTCTAAACTGAGCCTCTGCACCCAAATCACTCACGCCAGGCCGTCAAGATCACAAGTGAAACTTCACCCTGTAGGAAACGCTGAGATAACATGGTGGGGAGCCGTACTTTTGCTGTGTGAGCATCAACATTTCAAACTGAAACTTAAAAAATAAACATCTCCAAGAAACTTGTGCCACAGCAGGTGTATGGCTACCAGAGCAGCCCCCGTCCCGGCAGCTTAACAGCACCAGGCAGCGGCAAACCGAAGCAGTGAGGAGTCAGAAATGATGATATAATGTAACACTGTTTATAATATAGCTAAGGAAGAGCTACATTTCGCTAGCTTTAAAGCAGTAATAGACAAAAATCTGGAAAGGCAAAAAAAAAAAAAGAGGCCAAAAATTGACAATATACAGTCCACCTCCTTCTGCCCTTTCATCCTCCCGTCTCTGTTTTTAGCTCCTCCCACCTGCATCCTTCAACCTGAACAGTCAGCCTTCATTCATGAATTCAAACCACAACCGTTCAAGCAAAAATCCTCTCTTGTACCACCATGTTCTGCTCCTATGTGTTGCCATTTATACTCTCTCATGTGAGTGGGATGACACTCTGTGAATTACAGCATGCTGAGAACGTTGGTGGATCATTTTTGCCCAATAATGCAGGAAAACAAAACATTAAAATACTGCCTACCCCAACTTTAAGTGCCCACATCAGCCTTATGAAAAAGTACAGGTTAAGTGCACATGGCATCTATCTGCTCCTCTTTACAATCATTTCCATAATGTGTTTACCAATTACCAGTGTGTACTGGAACTGGGGGAAAAAAAGAGATAGGAAACAATAGAATGCTTTCTTTGAGGTAAACTTGAGGTACACTTAATTTATGTGCTGATCTGGAGCCTTGATGTGACAAATTCAATTGTTGTATTTATTCTGTTTACCAGCTAGTTACCAATTTGGATCAGGTTAGATCATTTTCAGCTGCCTGCTGCTGGAAACACGTGTGATGAGAGCAGTGAGAGAAAATAGTGAAGTCGCTGCACTGAAACCCAAAACACAGACTCTAATGTAAAACTAATGTTAGTGTCATCTGAGGCTAAAGTTTTTAAGGCAAAGTAAAGTGCTAACAGTTTATTTCTCATTTGTGCTGCATGAAGCTGAGAAAAAGGCTGGAGACATTGTTGCAACAGCGTTAGCTCACATTTCATAGAAATAATATGCAAACATCTCCTCATTAGGATTGTTGCATCATTTATAAGACTTCCTGACTTTGTGACCTGAATATGAATACTGATACCCAGACTGCTGGTGTCTCCATTTACTTCTTTTCTTTTTGTTAAGTCATTTTACAGTACAGAAAAGTTATCCCAATGTTTAATATTTTCTCCAAACAAATAGTGATGTCATCTTCTCAGTGTCATTTTGTATCTACAAAAGTAAAACACACAAAACAGATGTATTAGATTTGCCTTAATTTAATGGGCCTTTTCCCTCACACACTGTTTTTGCCGTACTCATGAAATACAATCTGGGTTATCCCTCTAACATTTGTGTCATTTACATTAAGCTTCAGCATTTATTCTACTTAAAGCCCAGAACTTCGAAGTTCATTCTTGGCCCTTGTGAGTTTAAATTCATTCTGGGACCTTTAATATAAATTATTCGAGACGGGCTGAATAATTTATGACGAGGGTGAGCTGTTGAGAACCAAATTCAGATCTCTCCTGAAGTTTCGGCTTTGTTAAAGACATCTGAGCTCGCCGGTCCCAGAAGTATTTTTTATTTCTTTTTGGAATTAAAAGTTTTCCACTAAATGCGTGTCTTTATGCATGCTGGCCACTTACACCATTGTAAATTTTGCATGTGGGGGAGAGGACACACAGCCCCAGTTTCCTTGCTTCTGACGCTCGGAGGCAGAAAGGTCTGAAGGGGCTCGCTGTGGTGTGAAATCATGAACAGATGAGCGCCAAGCCAAGACAAATCCCCTTATTTGCATCAGCGATCTTAGAAAGTTGTTGGTTAAATCGCACTTTAAATCACAGATGTTGCTGAAATGGATGAATTAATACAACGCCCAGTCACAGTGAGAAGTTATTTGCTTGAGGAAGAAGAACTCAAACTCACCTTTTTTTTATATTCCTAGATGGCTCATACATCTTTGTCCAGCGCTGGCCTAACTAAATTAGCTTCTGAGCCAACTTGCCTGCGGGGAAATCTCTGTCTCGGTGGTTTAAACGCCTTACAGAGCTGATGGACCGACGTATATTACAACTAGCATGTACTTTTTCCCATCAGGTGCTAATAGCCTCTCCTGTCAACTTGTCAGACACTCGTAATGCATACGGGCCGCGTTATGTGCATTGATTGAAAGGAGCGCCGTGGCCATGTTTTGCTGCACTGCACACACAAGAATATCTTATTCATGAATTCAGGTTGATCACCGGCGTTCGACAATGGCGCTGATTTGCATATAAAGTAGCGAAGGAAACGCAGAAGCCTCAGAATGACTTCACTGACAAACTGCTTAAGTCAGAAATATGACGAGACTGTTAGTGAATGAATAACACTTCGGTCTTGGGCGCAAAATTAATGGGAGCGTAAAATTCAGGTTCATTTTTTTTATATTACACAATTTGAACTTAAGTCGCCAGACGTATATTTGCCAACACGAGGAAACCACATTCTTGTCCGAGTTGCATTCGTCGTAGTCCTCGTGTGCCGCCGTTTGCTTCTGATAAGCAGCAACATAAGATCATAATTGTATCATTTCATCCATAATTGAACGTTTCAGAGTGCAGCGAGTGCATAACAGGAATTCCTGCCTGTGTGAGTTTTTAACGGCCACAAGCAAGTAGCATCAAAACACGGCACACGTAGCTGTGGGCCTCCTGTGACCAAAAACTGTGTCCTGCAGCCTGCATCCTCCTCACAGATACTTCCCCTTTAGTCTTGTGTTAACACATAAAAGCGAGAACATTTGGAGGGCAGTTGTAGCAGCACCTTCACAACCGGTGTCCTCTTTGCTGCTGGGTTTTTGCCAGGGTGATATTTTATAGCAACAGAGAGACATTGCTTCAGGGGCTACAGTTCAGCCAAGATATGGATTTAAAACATACATGAAAAATGCTGAGGAGATTCGATAAATATTAACATGCTGGAAAAGCTTGCATTTACCCTCGGATTTTTGTCAAACCTGACTCCAGTATTTAGGAGAAAGAAGAATAAGAAGGGAAGGAGAGAGGAAGGATGAAACGAAGGAAAGAAAAGATGGGAGAAGGAGAAAAAACGGAGAGAAGTGAGAAAGGAAGGAGAGAGAACGAGAGAAAAGGATGAAGAAGAGGGAAAAGAAGGAGAAAGAGCGACACGAGAAGGAAGAGACAGAAAGAAAGGAAAGAGAAGATAAATAAGAGAGGAAAGTGCCTACAAAAGATGGGGGGAAGAGACAGAAGACAGAAAGAAAAGAAAAGAGAAGAGCGAGACAAAACTTTGAAAAAGGAGGAGAAAGAAATGGATGAGACAGGAAGAGAGGCGAGGGTGAGAAAAAGCCAAAAAAAAAAAAAAAAGTATGAGAAACAACCAGAACAGCAGAGAATTTCCTGCCCCGTCAGTTTTCACTACAACAGGATTGCAGGATTAAAATTAATAACTTATCTTTGTTAAAAGAGAGTTGAATGCTGTAAAATGATCCACACATGCTCTGGGTGGCTTATTATGGCAAAAAATCATAAAGCAATTCTCATCAGTATTTCGAAGATATCGTGTGTTGAATGACCAAAATATGCATAAACAAAGATTGCTAATACGGTTTCTTCTTCTTCTTCCCAGTTATTAATTGAGTTGTGTAATTCACAGCATGTGGTGGCTTTGTAACACCATTCCAAGTCGGGATGAGTCCCGAGAGAGAGGCAGAGAAAATGCATTCATAGTGTTATTCATGAGGTCCTAATATCAATATCTTCCGGTCGGGAAACCATAAAGTCCATGTTTCCTATTTAGAGGTACTTGTGTACGGATTTGTTGCACAGCTCACATGTGTTTGTTAAACACTTTACACACCCCATAACCTGTTTTTAGCTTCATATTTTATTAAAGCATCCTTTAATGTGTCTGTAGAAATATAATCTGATGATTTCCCTTTTGAAGACCTCCTTATTCCTACTGCATTTTATCACACTCCAGTTCACTCTCACTTTTCTCTCCTCCGCCCTCTCAGGAGTTTGAGCAGTTTAACAAGCGGCTGGGCGACGTTTCCAGACATGTGCGCATCCCCCTGCCCGTGTCCAACGTCCTGTGGGAGCACTGCATCCGCTTGGCCAACAGGACTCTTGTTGAGGGGTAAGAAAGTCCAAACACACCTCCTCAGCTGAAAAAGCAGACACGTGCAGCCTTGTGGGGGGATTTCGGTGAAATTGTTACCAGAGCTGCGCTGAATTCGTGTTCGACCTTGAGCAGAAAAAAAACACCATTTTATTGTGCAAAATGTTTCCTCCATTAGTTTTTTTTTAATGTAATAGTGACTCAAAGCAGTATGTGAACAAAAGTAAGAACCAAGGTTAGTGATAGTAAGAATTAATGCTGATGGAAAGGCTGCTATCTCTGTCGCCTGAGAGCTACAGCGACTTATCACACAGTTTTGAGGTGATCGCGGGTTGCAAGACGAAGTCACACAGACTCGCAAGTGGCTCAGTTATAAAATATCAAATTAACCTTTTATATATTTTAAGTAGGACTCAGTGGCAGCTGGAGTTGAGACGAGTCTGATTGCAGTTTGACTTTGTGGATTTTTATTTACTTCGACTAAGAGCACAACACACTGCGGTTTGTCCTTGCTTTATGTTGTCACACTACGCTTTCCCCGCACACACAACATCCCCTCCCTTTATATCTATACAAACGAGAGCAAATCCAATATGAGTTGTCATCTGGCCAAACAAATTCAAGGCGAGAAAGCCGTGAAGGTCAAATGTACCGTCAACATCCTTCGTACAAACTTCAGCTGCATCCCAAATACCTAATTTTGTAGAATTTGTGCTCGCTCTGTCGTAGTTTTTTTTTCAGAATTGTTAAAAAAAAAAATCATCTTAAAATGAGTGAATATAACGAAAATAGATTATGAGGACAGCAAAAGCCTCAGTCAGCAGTGTTCAATAATTATTTAGAATATCTCAGGCAGCTACTCTCAGCAGCTCTGCAAGGTGAAATGAAATGTTAAAAGAACACAAAGATTGCTCAACCCACAGTTTAGAGTCATGAATTATTCAGCGGAACCAAGCTGAACACGGGGGCACACCTGTGGTTTTTCCGAAAATGTAAGAGTTCTGCCTCTACTTTAAAAGATCTCTTTTACCGTCGGGTTACAGTGAGTGCACAAATAGCGTCGGAGAGCTTGTTTCGAGTACAGACACCAAACAGCCTGTCTGAGTTGTTGCGTCAGGTTCGTTCGGGGTCCCTCCCCTCCTCGATCTCACTCCCAACAATCCTTTTTTTTCTCCTTTTTATGTCTAATTCTCTCTGTGTTTATCCCTCGATTTAAACATCATAAACTGAAACTGAGAAATCATTTCGAAAGTGTTTTGTCCAGCAACGTGACGAGCAGAAGGAGCTACCTGCAGTAGCTGTTGTGAAAGGTTCCCTCGGAGTTATCAGCTCAAGAAAACCACTCTGAATTCCTGCCATTTCCTCCTTGCGTCTGCGCCAGTCACATCTCTTCAGCTTGACCAAGCGCCCATCAGAGAATTACCCGACACAGGCCACTCTCGCAAAACCGCAAAATGCTCTTGACACTTCCCTTGTAATGCATTTCACCACTTTCTCCCTTGTAAGCGAGAGATATGGGTTGTGATAGGCGACACGACATCAGAGCGTTTTTTTTTTTTTTTTTCCCCTCCTCCTCCTCAGCACCTGCATTCCCGCCGTCCCTTTACTCGGGGCGCGTGTGTCGAGTGTACGTGTGAAGTAGGTTTTTTAGATCGAGGGTGCGATAAACCCCTCCGATCAGACAGACTCGACGCGCGGTGACACTGAGTCGGACCGACTGGATGGCGACGGAAGCGAGAAGCGAGCGTCTGACAATTATCGTGGGGTTACGCGCATTTTTATTGGGAGGCTGATGTTGACGCCACCCATTTAAAACAGGTTGCAGCAAAAGCGTTGGTGGGATTGTAATGGCCGAGGTTAAAAACGGCTATTTGCTAAGTGGTTTTGTGCTTTCCGAATATTTTAAGAAGGAGAAGGGAACACTGGATATGAAACACAGGTGGAAGGTCGGCCCTCATCCACCGAAAAAAGGAGGCATGTTTACTTTCCTACACATTTACTGAGCAGCGTTCCTCTCATTGTGCAGGAGAACTTTTGAACCCTTTCCAATGAGCAAATGGCCCATTACTACGGCAAATTTAAGCTGCTGTTGCAAGACTTACGCCGCCTCGCTGCTTCTCCCAGTACACTCGATTCACGCACACACATCTGCCACCCCTCTGGCACACCAAGATAGAGTGGTCATATTTGTTTGTTTGTACTCCCCGACTCCCTCAGTCTGTTATTCAATTTCTCTGTCCAGCGCTCGTCTCCCCTCAGAGACTCGCAAAAATGGTTCTGTTTGCATTCTGAGCCGGAGCTCAAACACTCAGCACCAAACTCTGGCAGGCCTGACAAGCAAAAAGAAAAAAAAAAATAGAGAGAGGGCGAGAGAGAGAGAGAGAGAGAGAGAGGTGGGGGGGAGGATGACAGCAAGAGGTGATGGAAATGTGAGAGAGAAGGTGAGGTAGAAAATGGAAACAGAGGAGAGAAAAGCTGAAGTGTGAGACAGGGGGAGAGTTTAGAGAGAGGCGGCCCGTCTGTGTGCTGTGTTAATGTACTGGAGATGTCGCAGACGATGACCCGCCAGTGGACAACAGTCCCTCCCTGCCAAACACAAACAGAAACACATGCGCTGAAAGACATGTTGTACTCTGGCCCACACACACACACACTCGACTGACACGACACGGGAAGCTTTGTGCAACAACCTGACTCACTATTATATTGTATAGAGGAGCCTAATGTACACACATTTACATAGATAGACACGCAAATAGTGGAACATGTCCATGTGATGCAGCCATGAAAGTCCCTCTCTGGTCATTGATTAGTAATAATATGATAATAATAAACTTTATTTATAGAACACTTTTAAAAACACACAAGTGCTTTTCAGTAAAATAAATTTGAACTTGAAATAAAATAGGCACACAGAAAAAGCACAAGAAGCTATAAAACATAACCTTAAACTTAAATAATCCAGGAACGCTCTCAGATAAAATGTGTTTTAAGGAGTGACTTCAAAGAGAGCACAGAATCAGCTGACCTGATTTCCTCGGGCAGGTCATTCCAGAGCCTGAAAACGCTTCGTCCCTCTTTATTTTCAGCCAGGCCTCTGGGGTAGTTAAAAGACCTTTGCCCGAGGATCTTAAAGAGCGTGGTGGAGAATGTGGTGTTAAAAGGTGGGCAGTGTAAATAGGACAGAGACCGTCGAGTGCTTAAACCCCTTAAACTCTCTGTGTATCACAGTCACATGAATTTTTTTTTCCCATGAAAATAATCACTTCCTGTCCTAAAATGTCTTAGATGTATCGCTACACTGTCGCTTTCTCTAAAATTTGCACATGAATGAAGCCCCTCCCTCCAATTTTACCCACTCCTCCCCACTCCCTGCAGCTCAAACACACCAGCTCAACTACGACTCTGTTCAAACACTGTAAACTAACTAGTCAGTCAGTCAGCCAGACATGTTCAAACTCGAAATGAATTCTGAAGAAAATGATAGAAAAAGCACCCTGCAAGCTGACAGTTTGTTGCTTATGAAACCCTGGAGGTCTAAATCCATGTTTTTTAGGCTGTTATTGTACTCCACAGTGTCAAGGGGAAAATGTTAAGGTACTGCACTGATTATTTTGATCATGATCTTTTCGCTTCTGAAAAACACCATATTGACATGTTAACAGAGAAACACAGTAGTTGATTTCTGCTGAAGGCGCTCTTTAATAAATTGATGGTACAGTAGCTGTGGCTCAACACAGTTTAATTTGTTTTCAGTTTGATTCACTGGAACATGGGAGTGGTTTTCCAGTAATGTTTACTGGGTAGTACATGTCAAAGTGACAACCACGTGGATGTTAGGACTAAAGGTTTCCCTGCAGAACATGGAACTGTAAAGAGAGGATCACTATCATTCACCTTGACAGTCATTCTAATGTTGTGGCTGATCGCTGTAGCAGTTAAGGCATGACACAGGAGGAAACTGCTAAAACAGGGGTGTCAAACTCTGGCCCGCGGGCAGAATTTGGCCCGCTTTGTAATTATATTTGGCCCGCGAGACAATACCCAATGACTACTAGAGCTGCCCCCGGTATTATACTGTACAGCGCATTCACCGCTAATACTACAAATCCCATAATGCCCTGTTGTTGTTTTGGCGCGTCAATCAGGACAGGACCCAGAAACTCCCTCTCCTCTGTGACAGTAGGCATAGCGACTTCACACTACAACTGTCACTGTGCCACTGATGTGTTTTTTATTTATAATTTGATTTTGCATGTCTCCACTATTAACTTATATATAATGTATGATTATAAGCGTTGCTTGTTCCATATTCAATGTTAAAGCAAAATTTGTTTCGGTCCATATTAAAAGGTTCATTTGTTCAATGTTGGCCCGCGACTTTGTTCCGGTTTTACATTTTGGCCCACTGTGTTTTTGAGATTGACACCCCTGTGCTAAAAGTTCGTTATTTCCACAGAGGTCCTGGCTTGTGCCAACTTCTCCCAGCGACAAACACTGCTGTGCCTCTACTAGAACTTTAAAATTTGTGGGAATCATCCATTATACATCCATCCATCCATCCATCCATAATCTATACATCACTTAGTCCTCACTAGGGCCGTGGGAGGGGGGGGGCTCTATCCATTATACAACTGAACACAAATACAGATTATCTGGTAGCTACAGATCCTGTATCTACTTCTCTGCTGTGGTTTTGACAGAGTTTGTAATATCCCTCCATTTATACCATTTGCGCTTTCAAGGTAACAAAACATTGGCTGATGACAAGCTGAAGCACAGTTTTTAATGCATAACAAATTTGCTGTGAAACACAATTGGGCGGTGTAATGACGAGAGGAAGTTGGTTGCATAGCAGTACAACTTTTCCCTACAAGTCCAGACAAGTTTATCCATAATTATCCGACTAAGTCCTGAAGCTATCTTAACAGTGCATACGTCAGTTCAGTTCAACAATACAAGTAGTCTTGCAAGCTAAACAAAAAAATAACTTTGCAAGACATTTTCACATCACAAGGTATTGTCTGGTTTGGGGTTGTGGTAAACTGAGGCAGTCTAAGTTTGGTACGTTGCCAGATTTTGAGAGTGAAGCGAGGCTGAATAGTCCAGGAGAGCAAGATGTAGGTGGTTAGGGTGACTTAAGTCAAAGTATCCAATGGTGAAAGATGTATGATAATCCTGAGGCCAGCAACATGCCCAACTGCTGTGATACGTTTCATGACTCTAAATGACAAATAACACAGTGTCCCAGTCATCGCCTCCCAGCACCTGAATACTTAAACCACCGCTAACCTGTCTTCCCTTTTCACTGTAGCTATGCTAATGTGAAGAAATGCAGCAACGAGGGCCGGGCCCTGATGCAGCTGGATTTTCAGCAGTTCCTGATGAAGCTGGAGAAGCTGACTGACCTGCGACCCATCCCCGATAAGGAGTTTGTCGAAACCTACATCAAGGCCTATTACCTGACTGAGAACGATATGGAGCAGTTCATCAAGAACCACAGGGTGAGACAGCCAAAGAGGAAACAGTTTCTATGAAAAGCTTCACCCTGAGAAGCTGCATGTCTGATTCTCTCTTTGTGTTTTTTGTTCAGGAGTACTCCATGAAGCAGCTAGCCAACTTGGTGAACGTCTGCCTGGGTTCACATATAAACAAGAAGGCTCGTCAGAAACTTCTGGCAGCTATCGACGACATCGACAGACCCAAGAGATAGACTGAACGACGGATCGAAACACATCAACCGACCCACAGAGACGGACACTCCAACTGAGCTGCACCCCAGATGGAGCTCAGCATTGAATGTCTTTATTTTAGGTTCATTAGAAATTTGTGGAGATGTGTTCAATAAGATCTACGGTGTGTGCACTAGTCGAGCTACTGTAAATTAAAAAAAAAAAAGTCAGCCAAATGCTAGTTATCTGGTTATTCAGTCTTCATGTGGTCACAAAACACAAGCTGTTGCTTTTTGAATGCACCTCATGGCATTCCTAAATCTCTGTCTCACACTCGAGCATGCTATTCTACGCATTGACAGACCATCGTGCATGCCCTCGTGTTTTCATTTTTGCAAACATGCTGCTTGGGATGCTCTTCTGCAAATGATCTGGAACCGCAGCAACTTTTAACATCTCTTCAGCGACCGTAAGGAAATCATGTCGTTGGAGGCAAACGACTACAAATACTGAATCTAACAGTGTAACGTGATGTGTCGCTCGAACCTTGTGGCTGTTTTTATGACATTCCATCGAGTTTTCACCAAATGTGCTGAATCTCTGACACAACGTCTACCTTCAGCTTCAAGAAAACAAAAAGTGTACGAGTTGAAATTTGAGTCACGTAATGTTGTTCAGCTTTGTGGAAAATATGTCCCATGAAAAGACTTTAACAATTGCCCCCCCTACTAGCTGAATGTGCTCATATATGGAGAAGAGATGGTGGATCTGGATTTTTGTTTACCTTAATCATTTTGTTTTTTTTATAATTTATTCCAGCCTGTATGTTTGCTATATATTATTTCACTTCAGGGTATTTGTCGCGCCTGACTGGACTTTTCTGCTTTTGTTTGTTTAATCCACGAATAAGATAAATCTAATATAATGATGATTCTGAAAGTAATATAAACTGCTGTAGTTTGCATTGACATAGATTATATCTGCACCAGCTGCATTTCTTTGTCTGGGGATGAGGGAGTGACTTTGTCGTCCTGGGGTGAGTTTTTGAACGTCTTTGAGAGAGTGCTTACCTTCAATCTTTTTTGCTGAGCAGTAAAATCTGGCCTGTTTCTATTTGTTTTGTAGGTTTGTGAGTGTTAGTTTACTATCTACAGAGATTTCCTCCAAGGCTCCCCCCTCCACTAGTCATCTCCATTAGCTGAACCTGAGCAGGCTTGCAGACAGGTTTGCCAGATTAACTTAATCCAAATGGAAAAATATAAAATGAAGTGACGTTTTTTTTTTGATACAGCTTCGTATGTACTTTGTGTGCAACTATTCCAAGACGAATACTGTAAATGTGAATGTTTTGAACAATGTCTGTATTTATTTCTGGCTTTGTGTCTCGTTTGGGTTTTTATATGATAACTGCTGGAAGTGTCTGTCATTCATCACCTCGGTATCTTGTCATCCGAAGCAAATGCAAATATTTAAAATTGTCAAATTATGTTAAGGGTCAAGTGCACTATAGTAAAAATCTGTAATCAGTGTTGGAGTTGTAGGTTGAACCAGATGATGATTCTAACACAATAAACACACTAATAATGGATGCTTATCGTCTGGTATTCCTACTCGCTTTATCCTCGCCGTGTCTTGAAGGCACTCCATAATCCATTGTGTTATTTGCAACCTTTAAAATCTCCGTGCCACAGCAGTTTTAGTTGAGTAACTGCTGCCTTTCATCAGAATATATGAGCGTTACCTCTGAGCAGCACCGCTGTCCATCCTAATGAAGTTTAACTCAGCCAGGAGCAGGACGCTGTCAGACTAATTAATGTGGTTTCCTGTGTGGTTACAAGCCCTCAGCCTTCCAATTCGGGGGAGACTGCTGATGAGGTTAAACAGACAGATCTTTGAGGTACTCATTAGCACTTTGATGAGTCATTGTTTCACATAATGCACTAGTTATAACGGTTAGCTTTTCCTGTTATTAGGGTCTTTGTGGGTTTGATATAAAAGACACCGCTAGTCTAATTTTAATGAAACCTGGAGGGATGGAATTAAAGACATTCACTTATTAAAAAGAGGAATGTGCAGATGTGTGTGTCTCTACTCCTGTGATTAAGCTGAAACTCCCTCCTCAAGCCACAAATCTTTCACATACCGTATAAATATATGGTACATGCCAGTGCTGAAAAATGAATGCTGAAATCATTTTGAAATGAAAATTAATGGAAGCTGCAGTTCATTGAATGACCACTAGAGGTCAGCTCCAGAAGGATGTCAGTCCCTGTGGAGCATCATGGTAAAATAACCCAACTATACAGTTCAATTAAACATCTTTACAGCCAAGTACAAAAAATGTTTTGGTCTCTATAGCTAATTTCCAAGTTTTTGACAACAGTACAAGGACTAAATTTTGACATAACTCACCTGTTGAAAATGAATTCAGCCTTGAAGTTAAGCTTAATTACAGCCATGGCCACTTTGTGTGACAGTTGGATGTTTTTATAGGACAGTCCACTCACGCTCAACTTCTTTGCTCATTTTTGAATTAGCTAGTCGTCCACCAGGGCTGCACAGTGGCTTGTTGGTTAGTACCGTCGCCTCGCAGATAGAAGATTCCCAGTTAGGACGCCTGGGATCTCCCTATGCGGCGTGGGTTCTCTCCGGGTTCTCCGGCTTCCTTCCTCAGTCCAAAAACATGTTGAGGTTAATTGGTGATTCTAAATTGTCCGTAGGTGTGAATGTGAGTGTGCTTGGTTGTCTGTCTCTAAGTGTAGCCCTGTGATAGACTGGTGACCTGTCCAGGGTGTCCCCTGCCTTCACCCTGAGTCAGCTGGGATAGACTCCAGCCCCCCGTGACCCTAGTGAGGATTAAGGGGTGTATAGATAATGGATGGATGGATGGATGGATGGATGGATAGTCGGCCACCAGAGCCACCAGGAAGAAACCGGTGGGTGATGCCCCAGAGGGTTTGTGCATCTTCACATAGTCTGTGGTTTAAACACATACAGTAGATGACTCTAAGTTCTGATGAAGTTACTTTCCATATACTGTAAATGTCATTTGTGTAATCAGCTCATTCCACTAATTAGTCAGCTTCTGTTGCCTCAATGCACAAAAAATAATAAAAAAAAGGTTTCCTCCTCATCACATCCAACAGGAAGAGAGAAAACCGAGAGGTTTCCTTCATTTCTGCTGTTGTGGCTGCTGTTGCCAGCAACATCCATCTTTCTTACTTCTGCTGGCTTTAAATGATACCACTGGGGAGCGACATCTAACAGAGCAATGACCAAAAAAACTTAATTAGTCATTATTCATAATTATTGCAATTACAGCAATTCTCAGAGCACAAGTCTCACTAATGTTCCCTGTGATGTTTTTTTTTTTTTTTTCCATTTTGTGCAGTCGCCCCTCATCAGCGATGGACCGTCCATTTCTGGTGTGGCGGCTCTTTCTTGCAGAGCTTTCGTCACTCTCCCACCCTCAGACACTTTGAGTCATGACCCACCTGACACCACTGTTCCCTCCGTCCTTGTGCGACACGTCGGGGTGCCCAGCTGGATCGTACCCCTCCTGCGATGCCATGGCCCACTTACACTTTCAGATAAAAGAGACTCTGCCCCTCTGCCAAATTCCATGAGCCAAGCTTGCAGAAATCACTATGGCAGACCTACATGCTCTCTGTTCACATTCCGTCGGCTGATATGCTTTCACAGGCTTCATTCGTGTCTGTTCATACGTATTTAATTGAGTACAATTGCTAGCGGAGCCTGTTAGTATTGTTTACTTTTCCTGGTGATTGATAAGACGCTGCGTGACAGCGGAGGAGGAATGACTGAAAGTAAATGTGGCAACCAGAGGGGATACTGATGAGCCGCGCTGGTTGGACATGAAAGAGAAAGTTGTAACCGAGTAGAAGACCAGATGAAGTCCAGATAGTATTTAGATCAAAAGTTACACAAAAAAAAAAGAAGAAAAAAAAACTCTTAGAGAAAGTTGCTTTTTTTTTTTTTTTTTAACAACGGTCGTCATCTATGTAAAAAAAATTATATATTTTCTGAGGCTTTGGGAAAGTCTTTGATAATCAAAGCTCTTTGAAATCTTTAGCTTAGGAACACTGATTAAAAATCTCCTGAACTAACCCGAGTGAAACTTGACTGGGAACCAAAGCTGATTGGGCTATTTTTAAAACTGCATGAGTGTCTATCGTATTGTGAGAAGTGATTTTACATAAAGGCTACAACCCCCGAAAAGCAAGACAACTTTGAATTTGAACCTGCTGATTGGCTGGGGCCCCTCCGTGTTGATTTGCATGTTGTTCTCGTGTCTGCATGAGTTTTCACCGCATGCTGTGTACTGCAAAAATAAATAAATAAATAAATAAATACAAATACCGTATTTTCCGGACTATAAGTCGCGGTTTTTTTTCATAGTTTGGCCGGGGGTGCGACTTATACTCTGGAGCGACTTATGTGTGAAATTATTAACACATTATTACTAAAAGCTAGGTGGCCACAGCTGGAGGAACGAGTTCGCACATCGGTGCTTCAACACCGTGCTGCCGGGAGAATGCGCCGTGCAACTTTCCTGGAAGTCGTTGGATGGATCGACAAAGGATGGGCTTCGGTGACAACCGAAACCATTCTGTCAGGATTCAGAAAGGCTGGAATAATTGGAACTGCAACTGACGATGAGTCTGACGTAAGCAACGTAGAAGAGGAAGCGCCGCATCTTCTACCTCCGGAGTTAGCGGAGTTGTTTAAAAGTGACACCGAGGATGAAGATTTCATTGGATTTTAGTTATTTGGAGTGACACGGATGGTTTGGTAAACTTCTTAGCATATTATTTATGCTATAGTTATCTGAATAACTCTTAATATGTTATGTTAACATAACAGGCACGTTCTCAGTTGTGTCATGTAACGTAAGCATACCGTACAATTATTCAGCCTGTTGTTGCCTCTGTTCTATTTTTATTTTAAATTGTCTTTCAAGATGACATGTCTGTTCTTGGTGTTGGAATTTATCAAATACATTTCCCCCCAAAATGCGACTTATATGTGTTTTTTCCTTCTTTATTATGCATTCTATGGCTGGTGCGACTTGTACTCCGGAGCGACTTATAGTCCGGAAAATACGGTAATAGTAATAATCACAGTTACAAAAACACTAGAAATTTATAACTAAATAAAATTTAACTTTTTTCTTCTTTTTTTTTGCAATACATTTGCAAATGTATCATAATTTCACAAATACTTCCCTTTTTTTTAGGTAAAACGTAAGTTTAATAGTGCATATATAACCAGAATATATATATAGATTCCTAAAATTAGATATACTTTATGACAGTTGCCAGAAAAACAAGCGCTGGTTCTGTAATTTCACACACATTTGTTTGTTAAATGAGAGGTAACTTGAATAATTGCTGAATTCTTTACAACAAAAATCTTGTCACTCTGCTTTTATCAGTGTATAATCTATCTGTTCATTTTACATGAGATCATGTTTATTTATTTGGCTTTTCAATGTTAAAGGCTTATGGTTAGGGCTGCCCAGGACCCTCTGTAGGACACAGCAGGTGTAGATAGTGGATGGGTTCACAGTGACATGAGCAGGAGCTACATTAGCTCAAAGACATAAGGCCTTCAACTGCCATACTGGAGCCATACCTGTGTGATACATTATTTATATTGTTACATGCTGACTTTTTCAACCCTTTCAACATGTTTAAAAAAAATGAATAAAGTCTATGAAGATCCATCGGACTAAAGAGGCTCGATGTCTTATCCTTCCATCAGGTCGGCCTTCACTTGAATGACAAGCAGAGGAAAAAGAAAAACAGTTCAGCTCAAAACATATAGGTTCAGAAAACAATTAGGCGTGTCAGGTAAAGTGGAAACCCTAAATACACACATGAAGACTTTTTTTAATCTCAGGGTCTCACTCTGTAAGAGCAGAAAATCGAAAACTGGAACCAGGGAACTGTGCACGGTTTAGACAAACCCATTTGCTCTCTCGTAATGACAGCCAAGTGCTCGCAGAGCTTTTCATTAAAGCGGTCTTATTGATTTAGCCCTATCACTAAACAGACCTGCGAGGAACTGGGGATGTCTGTTTCCCTAAAGAAATGGCAGACATGTTTATTTGTGTACAGAGACTGCAGTTCAGAAATGTTCGTGACATCTGTTTCAGAATAAGCGTGCCATTTATTGCCCTGTGCAAATTTGTTCCGCTTGAAAGGTTGGATTTGGCTTATTGCAAATACGCTCTATTTGGTGTCAAGAAATAATTTCATACGCTTTGCAAACTTCTAGCATTTCATTCACAGAGACTTCTCAGTAATTCACACTTATTTTGGAGTGTTTAAAGAACATAATGGCGAAATTTTCTCAACTTACTGACTGGCATCACGGATTGGAGCAGCTAAATGGATGCTGCGAAAAACTTCCACAGCAAGCCCTCTGAGAATCTTGCTCTGCCAGTCGCTGTTAATTTGTTGCTTGACTAGCTGTGCTCGGATGGGAACAAATGTTGTGTGTGGTCGTAAACATGAACAGGGCAGGAAAACCTCTCAAGAAACATTAAGGCTCTGTTTACAGCAG